AGAGAAGAAGAAAGTGATGGATCTCTGGGTTTCTTGCTGAAGAAACCAGAAAAAGGTGACTGCAGAGAAAATAGAGATGTGTGACAGGTAAGTTGACAACATTAGTTTTAGGCATCATGAGTTTAAAAGATGAATGAGAGGTGACCAGCTGACAAGACAACCATAAATAGGGTGTGTGTCTAACAGAGCAAGTTTTGATTCTGAAGGTTCAGGTTCAAGGCAAGTTCAATGCTTAGGAAGAGAACTGTCACTGAGGGAGAAACGGTAAACAAACCAAATTCTGGGGATCATCAACAGACATTTAAAGGACAGAGGTGAGAGAGTGAAGACACAAGGGAATAAAGACACCGATGCCAAGGAGGGGAAAAGTTTCAAAGAGGGCTGGTCCCACTGTGTCAAAATCCTCCTGAGAGACCCAGATATGTGAACTGTAGAAATATTATTATTATTATTATTAAGCAAGTCTCAGAAAAGTTCCAATAAGGCAATTTAAACCAACTCCAATTGTTATGTGGTAAATACTGTGCAATAAAAAATGCTGGGGAAATATCCTAAGGAATCCACTAAAAAACTAGAGAACTAATAAATAAATTCAGCAAGACTGCAAGATACAAGGTCAATATCTTAAAAATTAACTGTGTTTCTATACATCTGCAATGATCAATCTGTAAATGAAATTAAGAAAATGAAATTAAGAAAATTTCATTTACAATCACTTCACGAGAAATAAATTAGGAATAAATTTAATGAAAGAAGTGCAAACCTTATATTCTAAAAACTACAAGACACTTGTGGTTCTTTAATTTAGAAATTATAGAAGAACTAAATAAATGAAAAGACATTCTATATTCACAGATCTGAAGACTTAACATTGTTAAAAGGCAATACTCGCCAAATTAATCTACAAATTCAATGCAATTTCTGTCAAAATCCCAGCTGGCCTCGTTGCAGTAATTGACAAGTTAATCCTATAATTCATATGGAGATGCAAAAAGGTAAAACAACTCTGAAAAAGAGCAAAGCTGGAAAATGCACATTTCCTGATTCCAAAACGACTACAAATCTACAGCAGTCAAAGAACGCAGGAGTGGCACACAGTCAGATATATGGAATAGAACTGAGAGTTCAAAACAGACTCTAGCATTTACAGTCAACTGATTTTCAACAAGAGTACCAAGACAATCAAATGGGTAAAGAATAGTCTTTTTAATAAGTGGTGCTGGGCAATTTCCTGGTGGTGCAGTGACTAAGACTGTGCTCCTAGTGCAGCCGGCCTAGGTTCAACCCCTGATCAAGGTACTGGATCCTACATGCCTCAACTAAGTTGCAACACGGTGCAACTAAGATCTGGTGTAGCCAAATAAATAAATATTAAAAAAAAAAAAGTGGTGCTAGAGAAACCACATATAAACGAATGAAGTACTTTACTTCTTAAACAAATAATAACAAAAATGTACTACAACCTAGGGACGTCCCTGGCAGTCCAGTGCTAAGATTCCACATTTCCACTGCATGGGACACACGTGTGATCCTTGCTTGGGCAACTAAGACCTCCTATATTGCCCAGCCAAAAAAAAATCCCAAAGTACTACAACCTAAATGTAAAGCTAAAACTGTAAAACTCATACAAGAAAACAGAAAAGTTAATCTTCATGACCTTGGGTCTGGCAATGGCTTCTTAAATAAGATACCTCAGGCACAAACAACAAAAGAAGATGATACACTGGACCTAATAAAAATTACAAACTTGTGCTTCAAAAGACAATATCAAAAAAGTAAAACGACAACTTGCTAAATGCAGAACATATTTTTTAGTCATATATCTGATAAAGGACTTGTTTAGAATATACAAAGAACTCTTAGAACTTAACAATAAAAAGACAAATCAATTTTAAAAAATGGACCAAGGACCTGAATAGACATTTCTTCAAAGATACACAAATGACCAACAAACACATGGAAAGATGCTCAATATCATTAGGAAACTGCAAAGCAAAGCTACAACAAGGTAGCTACTACTTGCTACCCACTAGGTTGGCTATAATAAAAAAGATAAAAAGTGTTGACAAGGATGGGGAGGAATCAGAACCCTCAATACACTGCTGGTTAGAAAATGTAAAATGACACAGTCACTTTTGGAAAACAGTTAGTTCCTCAAAATATGAAGTATAAGAGTTACCATATGGTGCAAGAATTCTATTACTGCGTAAATACCAGAAAGAAATGAAAACCCATGTCCACACTGGAACTTATACACAGGAGTGTTCACAACAGCATTATTCGTAATAATAAAAAAGTGGAGACAATCTACGTGCCCATCAACTGCTGAATGGATAAACAAAATGTGGTAGATTCATACAATGGAACAGAATTCAGCAATAAAAAGGAATGAAGCACTAATATATGCTACAATATTGATGAATTTTTAAAACATGCTAAGTGAAAGAAGCCAGAAGCAAAAAGACCATATATTTTATAATTCCATTTAAATTAATTGGCCAGGATAGGCGCATTCATAGAGACAGAAAGGAAATCAGTAATTTCCTAAAACAGGGGAACAGGGACGTGGGCAGGTGATGGCTAAAGCGTACGGGGTGTCTTTCGTGGGGTGATAAAAATGTTCTAAAACTGACTGTGGTGACAGTTGTACATATCTGTAGATACAGTAAACCAAAGAACTATACACTTTAAATGGGTTAATTATCTGGTATATGGATTATGTCTCCATAAACCAAAAAAGAAAAAAATGCTGAGACCCACAAATATAAATATTTTACTGTAATTATAGAAGTGAATCAAGTCTAGATGCCAAGTTATTGTTCTTACGAGGATGCAGCCAGAATAACTTATTAATAAGTCAATAAAGTCTGAACTCTTCAGGCTTTCCCAAAAATGAAATATTCATTCTAATATTTCATATTTGATGTGTTGTTTGATATCAAACTGTTGTTAAACTAAACCAATAACAATTAATGAAGCTTTTTGAGTGTTTCTAGTAGCATACAGTTTTATAAACTGAATTGGTGGTTAGCCATTCAGGACCTTACTAAGTAAAGTGAAAGTGAAAGTTGCTCCGTCATGTCCGACTCTTTGCAGCCCCATGGACTATACCGTCCATGGAATTTTCTAGGACAGAATACTGGAGTGGGTAGCCTTTCCCTTGTCCAGGGGGATCTTCCCAACCCAGGGATGGAACCCAGGTCTCCAGCACTGCAGGTAGATTCTTCACCAGCTGAGCCACTAGGGAAGCCCAGGAATACTGGAGTGGGCAGCCTGTCCCTTCTCCAGCAGCTCATCCTGACCCAGGAATCGAACAGGGGTCTCCTGCATTGCAGGCGGATTCCTTACCAACTGACAATGCAGGTAGAGTCTTTACCAACTGAGCTATCAGGGAAGCCCTCCTAAGTAAAGTCTCTCTGATATATTATGGTTCTAATACTATATACCCTATTTCTAATTTTAGGTACTGTGAACTTATTATCTTAATGTTCCTAATCACTGGCTATGCAATGTGTTCTGTATGATGTTACAGAAAAGCCTGAATGAACTTTTTGGTCATCCTAGTATTTCTTATCTTTTCAAAAACATAAGTTTTCTGCATAACATAAAATTTACCATTTCAACCATTTTAAGTGTACAATTCATGGCATTAAGTGCATTCGCAATGTTGTGCAACCATCACCCCTATCCAATTTCAGAACTTTGTCATCATTCCAAACAGAAACTCCGCCCTCACTAAACAGTAACTCCCCACTGTCCAGTCTCCCCAGCTCCTAGTAATCTCTATTCTGCTGTCTCCTTGAATTTGCCTATTCCAGGTACCTCATATAAATGGATTCATACAATATTTGTCTTTTTGTGTCTAGCACATTATACTAGCATAATGTCGTCAAGAATCACCCATGCTCCTCCTCTTTTCTCTTCTCCGCCATCCTATGTGCGGTTGAGTTCTCTCCTCACCATGTCGTCTCAAGACTTTCAGGATCAAGTGATTCCTAGCCAAGAAAAAAAGCAGAATCGTCCCATTCCTCAATGGATTTGAATGAAAACTGGCAATAAGATCAGGTACAATTCCCAGAGAAGACACTGGAGAAGAACCAAGCTGGGTCTATAAGAAGCCTCACATAAAAAGTGGCACACATGTTAAGACACTTTTTTAACCAGCCAAATCACAGCAAGAACATCACTACTGTAATGCTTGGCTCCTGATGTTCCTTGTTTCCTCACTATCAGTCTATGAGACTCAGTAATAAATATGAAACGTTGTTAGAAAAAAAAAGAATCATCCATGCTGTAGTATACATCAGAATTTCATTCCTTTTTAAGGATGAATAGTGTGCCATTGTACATATATACCACATTTTGTATACATACCACATTTATCCATTCATCTGTCTATAGAACACTTGGGCTATCTTTTGGCTATTGTGAATAATGCAGCAATGAACACCAGCATACAAGTATCTGTTTGACTCCCTGCTTTCAGTTCTTTGGGGGTATATACATAGTGGGATTGCTTGGTCACACAGTAATTCTATGTTCAACTTTTTAAGGAAAAGTCAAACAGTTTTCCACAGCAGCCAGGACATTTTACATTCCCACCTGCAGTAAGCAAGAGTTCCAATTTCTACATCCTCACCAACACTTGCTCTTCTTTTTTTTTTTTCCATAATAGCCAACAGCATGGGTATGAAGTGGTATCTCACTGTGTGCAGTGTATTTTTAGTCTATTATCTGTAAATAGAAGTTCACCTTGTGTTGACTTCTATAATTATACTTAGCACAGCCACCGAAGAGATATATAAAAAAAATTAAATACCAGTAAAATAAAGCACAGGGTTACAAAGATTCAAGTCAATTCAACTTTGAAAGAGATATAAAAAAATGACCAAAAAAGGAAGACACGACACAAAACTTGGAGATTCTGTTTTACTCACTTCAGACTAATGGCTAAAATAATAATGTTTTGGGTAAATAAAGATTGTTGCAAACCGAGTTACAAGTTCGTGATTTATTGTTATGACAGTGAAACAAATGCAGAAGTCACTCCTGAAATAAATCTTTTAAAAACACATTTATTCCTGGGAGATTGTGGTCACTAACCCTATTTTAAAGATAAGCAAATTTAAAATCAGACAAGTTCCACGGCTTGTCTTAGACCACAAAGCAATTCTGTGGCAGGGATTTGTCAAATAATTTCTGATTTCCAGGTTAAAGGTGAAAAACCAATAATTTAATGTGTATTAAAGCCAGGGTAACATGGTCGAACAATTTCCATTCTTAGTGTGAATAAACTAAGGGAAGTTGTCCACAGCACTGAACCTTACAACCTCCAGTAACAATGACCAATAATTAACTCCCTGCCAGCCTAACTTAAATGCGGATTCAACTCAAAACTAGGTTGTCAGGGGTTTTTCAGTGTGAGCTAGTAAACAAGAAGTCTCTAACTCTGTCAAATATTTTCATTGTTTTGTTAAATTCTGGCTGTTCAAAACTAGGGTAATTCTATCGTTAAACTGACAAAGCCTATGTTGAAGCCATCAAGTAAAACGGAATTGCTTTTTGACAATCTTGCTTAAATCAGATATAGAGGTGTTACTAGTCTTCTTTTCTGCACCACATGAGAAAAAAAATGTATTGTTGACCCTCACCACATTTGATCCAATCATTTTAGGCAAATGAAATATATCTTTATACATATATTCCCTGGGTCCACATGAAGAAATGCATACTGAAGTATCCAAGGCTGAAAGAAGGTGAAATACTGGGACTTGCTTTAAAATACTTCAGCAAAGGGGGGGGGGGGGGAAGTATAGATGAAACATCTGTGACAGATATTTCAACTGTGTAACGTGGGTGACGGCATATAGGGAGTTCGTGTCACCTTTTCTATTTCCGTCTACGCTTAAAGTTTTGCACGATAACTTTTAACAAAATGAGTTATTTCCCAAGTTACCGTCCTGGTTAGAAAACCCGAGTCGGTGTAGGCGAACGTTCTTGTCTTCGCAGCGAAACCGGGCGAAGCGCCTCCAGCCGAGGTGAGGCGGCCGTGGGCTCCACGCCCCTCCGGCCCCGCGCCAGCACGCGGGCCGAAAGCGCGCACGTTTCCCTCGAGCTGAATCTGACAACTCGCTCGCTGCTTTCCGGGGCTGGCAGGATCGCCGAGCTCAATTTGGAAGTGGCGCACGCGGGGCTCACGCCGGCGGCTCGGGAAACCCGGACGAACTCCCCTCGCGGGCTCCAAGGTCCCGGCCCAGGGTAGCGGGCCTGGCCCCTCGCAGCCCCTCTCTGGATCTCGAGAGACCCCCGACCCCCGGCACCGCTCCCTCCGTTCCCCCACCGCGAACCCCCGCCCAGCCCGCCGCCTACCGTCCAAGTCCTCTTCGTCCTCCGACTCGCTGTCCGCCACCGCGTCGGCGACCAGGCCAGCGCCGGGATCGAAATCCTGGGAGCCGGAAGGAGGGGCGGCGGGCGGGGTGGAGGCTCTGGAGCGGGCCTCGCGCAAGCGGGTGAAGTAGTCCACCGCGAAGTCGACGAGGTCTGGTGGCCGCTGCCGCAGCACCTCCACGGTGTAGCCCTGCAGCAGCTCCGTGAGCCCGGGCGGGATCTGAATGTGGCTCATGCCGGCGGCGGCAGGCGGGACCGGGCCGCCGGCGGCCACCGCCTGGGCGGGCGCTCCCTCACGCCGGCCTCTCGCCCGGCGCCCGCGAGGTCTCCTCACGCGCGACCCGGGTCGGGCCTTCCTCGCGCCACGCCGCCCTTTGGCCGGGTGTGTGTCTCCGGGCCCCACCACCCTACGCTACTCCGGCCGGCCTGGTGCCGCCGCCGCTGTCACTGGGCAGCCGCAGCCGCCGCCGCCGCCGCGGGCACCGACGAGCGGGCGAGGGGACGGGCGGGGCGGGAGCCCGGGTTGTGACGCACGCGGCCGCGGGCGTGCGCGCTCCCGCCGAGCGCCGGCCCTCAGTACGCTTGCGCCAAGGGGCTGTCTACTCGCCCCGCTACCTGGCGATCCAGGCGCAAGGATGAGAGGTCTACCCGCTAAGCGGAGTGTTAGTGCCTCTTATCTCTTTTCTTCTTTCAGCACACGCTAAGATCCAACCATCTGCCCGCCCTTACTGGGTACCAGGGACATAGCTGAGAGCCAGACGCAAGAATGCCACCTTACCATCTCGGTGTGGTTCCAGATATGGTGGAGAACAAGGGGACCCTCTTTAGGGGGTGACATTCAAGCTGACTCCGAGGCCTGGGCAGGACCTAACCACAGGAAGAGCCAGCGGGAAGCCATGTGGGCATAGAGGACAACAAGAGTAAAGACCTAGGAAAGTCACAACCACCCTGACTGTTGGGTGGCCTGGTGGCATGACCGTAGTACCCTCCAAAGTCTGGCAGGAGGTCTGTGAGATGTCAAAGAAAGGCCTTGTAGGCAGTAGGAGTTTTGATGATATAATAATTTGGGAGCCACCGGCAGATAAATCTGGAAGAATGAGTTCGAAATATGTTTCTTGAGAAAAGGGAATAAAGCCCAGAGCAGGAATGACCACTGTGCCTGTTTCTCTGCTTGAGGATTCCCATCAGGATTCCCAGGACTAGGTCTGCACACCCGTTCTCTCCCCATACTCTGCCCTGGACCCTGGGCCCTGGGCCCTGGGCCAGCATTGCTTGATGGTGTTTGAGCAGATGGCAAGGCACTGTTATCCTTTGTCCCAAGGAAGGGGCCTAGGCAAATGGGAGAGGCCATGCTATTTCCCAAGCTGCACCTTCACCTACAGCAGATTGGAAAGGAAGAGAAAAGAGTGGAAACCTTCCCAGTGTGTCCATAACACAGCCCAGGTGCTGACCAAAGTCCCAGTAAGCATGGGACAGCATCCTCTGTCTCTCTGCTGGGCCAAGTCAGAAAGTGACTAGATATAGCCTTGGGAATCTGAAAGGCATTTGGGATGGTTAAGCTCCACCTGGTAATTACCCAGTATTAATTAAATCCTCACTAGGACCTCTCATTTTGTCTTGGCACACACCCAGGAGCTCAGTGCTCTGGGAACTGAGCGTCTAGAAGCAGGAATACCTGATCCCCACTGGTGCAGAAGCCACCCAGGCCCCAGGCCAGGCAAGTCTGTGATTTCCAAAGAGCAGTTTCTCCCTGGACAAGTTTCTGGACTCCTGGGAGAAGTCCTGAATCATCAGCTTTGTTAGGGGAGGGGTAGTGTCCAGCTCATTCTCTGCTGGGGTCCTTATCGCACAGTCTTGCAAAAGATTTACTAAATAAATGAATAATAAATTTTCACACAGCAAGAAGAGCCAGTGAGACTGCTCTCCTGATCTCAGTCTCAGAACTAGGATCCTTTGATTCAAAGCTATGTGTCTGATCTCAGAATATAAAGACTTCAGTAAGGACAGGGCAAGGAGGAGCTGCAGGGGCAGGGTTCCTCAACTTTTCTCTGCTCCTGTGTAGACTGACCCCTCCGAGTTTTCCAGGAGTCAGCCCATCCTCAGGAAACCTAGGTGGGACTCCCACTGCCCTGCCACACCTGGGGATCTGACCCACTTCAGGAAATCCTACCACTGACCTTTTAGAAAGGCAAATTCGCAACTCCACTCTCTAGCTTGCCCATTTGCCAGATTTTATACATTTGAAAGGGGGACAGGCAGCTGTACAATTAGGACTTCAACTTCAGTTGCAAAGAGGGTAGGAGGAAGCTACTCCAGGACTGATGACAGAGCTGGCTGTGGGCAGGTTCTCCCGGTCACTCCAAGGAACCCCTCTCAGCCTCTGCCTGAAGGAGGCTGGTCCTCCTGGCTTAGTCTCAGGTACCCTAGCTTGGCCAGCCAGCCAGCAAACATGGGATTCAAAGGCATCCTCAGACCTGGAGGAAATGAGGACCACAGAAATCGGGAACTGCATAGCTGCTCCTCACCTGTCTCTGAAGACCAGCTTCAGAGGAAGGATGGAGAGCCAGCCTCCAGGTCCAGCTTGACTCTCTTCCCCTTGCACCTGGTCCTCAGAGCAGGGATCCATCTCTGCCCCTTCGGGGAAACCTTTCAATAGCAAGGAGAGTTCCCAGGGCCTTCATGAAGGCCCAGCTGAGCTGGCAAAAGAACAGGGCCTTGGAACAAGAGAGAATACAAGAGGCCCAAGCCCCACATCTTCTATCCTTACCCTTCGAGGACTGCCTTCATTCAAGCCTGTCCATCAGCACCACTGGAGATTACCATGGCAACTGAACCCACAGGCAGCAAACAGCTGCCAACAGCCAGTAATGGTGGGTGGCAAAGGTCAAGAGCAGAGACCCTCGAAAGCAAGAGAAATACAGAAACATGGTAGACAGAAGAGGAGGTCCCAGAGTCCTGCGAGATGCTCTCCTCAACCCAGGTATACTCACCACCCAGAAGGTAGTCATCATTTTGCACGGGCTGCCACACCACCAACCTCAGAACAGACATGGACACTATGGGGCCAGTTCTCAGAATTGTTTACAACTATGCTTACTCAAGTGGGGCACCTGTCTAGTCTAAGAGCAGTGAGACTGGTGATAATGAACATGGGTAGGGTACCAACTGCTATTTCCAATGGAACAGTTATTTCCTGTGCTCTTGACAGGTTCATGATTTAAAAGGTTTTTTCCCCCGACTCTTTCCAGGAAGAAGGAAGATGCTTATAGTCCCCTAGACTTCTCTGGAGGACACCCTGCTCTTGGTCCAGAACCCCTGGTTAACTCACTGTCTGCCCTCTGATGCCCTCCACCTGCTCTGGGGAAATCACCCCCAGCAGGAACACCTCCCTCTCCTCTGCCCCAAGGGGCTGCTTCTCTAAGCCTAGCCCAACCCCCACCCATCTCCTGGGACTTGTTCATCTGACCTGCTCTACATTCCAGTCCCCTGGCCCAGTCTCCCTGCATACTTACTACCTACCACCACCTGTTTCTATTTTGCATTCAGTTCAGTTCAGTCGCTCAGTCGTGTCAGACTCTTTGTGACCCCACCCATGAATCGCAGCATGCCAGGCCTCCCTGTCCATCACCAACTCCTGGAGCTTACTCAAACTCATGCCCATCGAGTCGGTGATGCCATCCAGCCATCTCATCCTCTGTCGCCCCCTTCTCCTTCTGTCCCCAATCCCTCCCAGCTTCAGGGTCTTTTCCAATGAGTCAACTCTTCGCATGAGGTGGCCAAAGTACTGGAGTTTCAGCTTCAGCATATTTTGCATTACAAGTGTCCATGAGCCTCCAGTGGCCAGAAAGGAGTGAGGAAGTGCACTGTTTCCTCTGCCCTCACCCAAGCCTTCATAGTGCCTCCCCCATGAAGCCACTACCTTTGGTCCAGTTATTTTAGTAAGCACCAATACTCAAGGGAGCAGTTAATTCTTGGGCTGCTTACTTCTACACTTGTAAGCCATTTATGACCCCCACTCCCCCCCTCCACCCTGGACACTGTCCTGAGAAAGTATCAGTTTCTAGAGTGGACCTAGGGTCTGCCTCTGAGACATATCAGAGCAAGGACAGAACCTGAGAAGCAAAGGAGAGCCCTGGCTGGAGAGCCACAGGCCTGATGCCAACTAGAGCAAAGAAGGTAGAATAAAGGGGCCCTCAGGGAACCCTTGACCTTCCTTGTGTCTGCTGGGACTCTGTGTGCCGTCCCTGGCCTGATTCACAGGCCAGCTGCCCGGGCTTTGATCCTGCAGTACAGGCAGGCTCTTGGAGTTTGCGTCAAGCAATCCAGGACTGCTGATAATGTCACAAACCTTTCTTCAGGCCTGTGGACACTGAGACACCACTCTGTCAGCCACACTCTGATATCCACTTGGTGATGATCTTGGTAGATCAGTTTACCCTATCTGAGCTTTGGCTTCCACATCTGAAAGTGGAGGTATAAATCCCTACCCATTAAACACTGAGTTTGTTGCTGTTGTTGAGTTGCTAAGTTGTGTCTGACTCTTTCCAACCCCATGGACCGTAGCCCCCAGGCTCCTCTGTTCATGGGATTTCCCAGGCAAGAATACTGGAGTGGGTTGCCATTTCCTTCTCCAGGGGATCTTTCCAACCCAGAGATCAAATGTGCATCTCCTGCATTAGCAGGAGGATTCTTTACCACTGAGCCACTAGGAAGCCCAAACCCTGAGTTACATGGGGTAAAGAGATGAGAATGAACCCCCGAAGAGGTTAGGAAAGGAATAGGAGGCTCGAGCCTAAAAGAACTGTGGTAAAAGGACTGCGGGTAGAGATGCTATGACCTTACAGCAGAAACGGTGCTGCTATTGCTTCTAACAGGCTGAGGCTGGAACAACCCTCCGTCCTTTACCTTTGACCCAGTTGTACTCCTCTTTGTGCTTGCATAAGGCTGTTCTCACTGGCTGGTTGTTTTAACTATTACTGGCTTCTACTTAAGGCTGTCTGTAGCAGTCTAAAAAATTCCTTAAGGGGGCCCCAATCTCTCCCCCACCCTTACCCCCATCAAGGAGAGAAGAGATATATCAGGAACAGGTGGCATTTCAAAGTGCATCATAAACAGGAAGTGCCAGCCAGAAGGGAGTTACTCACCATCTGCTCTGCTCCCCTCACACATATGCCTCCAGGGGCTTCCCTTTTTTTGACTTCACATCTCTTGAATCCCCAGAGGAGTAAAAGGATCCACCAGCACTAGCATCAAAGAATCAAAATATTCCATTTGCAAATGGAAGCTGTTTCAAAGGGCAAATTATTCAGAAGCAGGAGACTGTAAAAGTGATCCTGAGCCATGGGAATGGCTGGCATTTAGCTAGAATGCAAACACACTCCCAGGGCTCCCAGGAAAAGCTCGAGGTCTCAGGACTGTCTCAAGGACTGAGCAGTGCTGAGAAGAGCTTCAGGAGACACCTTGGAGGCCATCTCCCCATCCTTGAGAGATTAAACAAAACTATCCTGCAGCATGAGACGGGAAAGCGTAACACTGAATTAATTAATCTTCCCAGGAAGAAAGCAAACAATTTTCATCCTTGAAGCAGTTCTTTTTTTTTACTTGACCATCATCCAGAAATATCTTCCCAGAATAAAGCTTCCTTCCTTAAACCCCCAAATCTTCAGCTTCCAGGCAAATTGGCCACACCCACTCCCAGATAGGGATGGGTCCCTTCCCCCTCTCACCCATTATGCTGAGTGATAGCTCTGAAGCCAAAGTCCAAGGATCTCTGTGCGGCTGCAGTGAGGTGGGAAGTGCCAGCGGAAGTGTAACTGCCAGATGGGACAAAGCCAGAGAAGCCCAGCTCTGGTAGCCTCTCTCTCCCCCAGCTAAGGACGGACTAGCATGTCACTCTCCACTCTGACTCCCTCATCTCCCCTGGCTGCACCCAGTCATCATCTTCAGCCTGATAAGTAAGGCCAGACATCAGATCATACAGCGACCCCCGAGAGCTATGGGAACAGTTACCAGTCAGGTTGCCTTATCCCACCCCACCAATCTGACCCTCCAGGAGCTGGGCCGGGGGCAGTCTGGGAAGGCCGGTGGGCCAAGACTTCTTCCTCTTTCTCTTGCTGAAATTGCTGCCTGAATCCCATCCAGGGAAGGCTG